CCATTGAACACAACATGGAAATCTACAGGTGCAAAAAGACACCAACTTAGGAGAAACGTGTTTAAAAATTCATTCACTATATCTGAAGAACAGAAGACCAGTTCAGAACACAAACCAATGGTCTATTGTAACATTCTGGTATACTGCATAAGAAACTGGCTGTGCAATGTTGACATAATGACTACATCAAAAACTGGCTATGGCCACATTCTGGTTAAATATTTAATTCCGTATAGAATTCGAAAACTCGAAATGTATTTAACAAGTTTGCTGGTAAATTTTTCAGAGTATAAGGGCAATAAATTCATTAGTCGTATACTCGAATTAACTATTCATCAGGAAACCTGATAATTTAAGAGTGCAGGTGTCAATATTTAAAACTATTGGTGTTACTGGAACATCCAGTTTATGCATTTCAGTCAATCTATACAGTATTCCAGAACCAACTGTTCCAATTTCTTTATGTACATTTCAAGTTGTAATTTTAAGCTTTCTTTCAATTATAACAACAAGCATCTTTCCAGTTTCCTTTCCATTGTTGGTGTTGGATCTATACTTATATACTTTAAATGCTCTACTATAATTCAATATATATTTGGCCTTGTTAACCGAACCATCTTAATTCGAAATTGTCATCCTGCTTCCATCATTTAGTTTTGCTGCAACTAAATCAGTACGTTTTCCATGTTTAACAATAGTTGTAATATGAAGATAATGACAGGATGAGAACACAAGCTTTCACTGTATCAAAGTTCTCTGCTGTACTATAAGAGACATAGCAGTTCTTCAAATGTCTTAACAAGACTTCAAAATATGTCAGATAGGTGTCGTCTTCTGACGTCTTAGGGAAAATTCCAAAGGATATTCCACGTGCTGGTGCTCTTTGTTCCACACCAGTTAATATGAAGATCAATAATAAATGACATTAATAGGTTTACTTATAAACAAGTGTCCGTGTGGTATAGAAATATACTGGTTTAAAATACAGAATTATTGATTCTACATAGTTATTTCTTCTCAAATCCTTCTAGTAAAAAAAAACAAAGTAAGAACAAATTTTCAAAGTCTTATACAGAAACTTTTAATTACAAACTCGAATAAATAACTTATATTTATAATTAATCATGTCTTTCATGAAGTGTTAGTGAATTACGAATTTTACACTTTTTGAGTAAAAGAAACAACAACAAACAAACTTGGAATAAAATGAAAATGTTTACATTGTTTTAAAATTGATAAATGAAGAAAATTCTAAAAGTATGCAAGTATAGTTTTTCACCAGTTCTAAATATTTGTTCATTGTTAAACACAAAACTACACAATGTACTCTGCCCATCTCGGTGTCGAACCCAGATTTTCAACGTTATAAGCCCTTAAATTTACCGTCGAACCACTGGACTACAGGTTTAAAGGTCAATACAGTTTGTTATTCGTATGTATTGGTTACAATCTGAATATATAACGTATTTTGGAAAACTTAACACAGAGTGAAAATTCAGATAAAACAACAACAACAACCTAAGAACACGTACTAATAGTTTATAGAAGAACAGGCGAATTATAATCACCAACTAAACAAGGCTTTGTCACACTGTCGAAAACGCTTTCACGCTCCTTTTTGATAATGGTCAACAATATACATAGTCGCTTAACGACGAAACTATCACCCGATTGTTCTTAGGCAAACTATGGTGTTTATGTTAAAGGCTCAATATTCATTTTGATTTGTTAAAACGTTTTTTTTTAAATTCTTTATTATTTTTTGATAACTTAGCGATATAACTGCAAAATAGTTTAATTTATGTAGTGCACATTGGTGTATAGAAGACATATTAATACTAGAAATAAACGACCTTATAACATCAAAATGTTCACTAAAGTTTTGGTTTCAAATTATATGACGAGGAATCCACTTTGAGACTAATAATGTTGGAGACGGCTTGAATGGGTAATGAAGAAAAACTTTAACATAAGTTTAACATAACAGCAAATGTACAAGTTTCGACATAGTTTTGTCATCATCAGGTACCCACCCATTCAAGCCGTCTCCAACCATTATTAAAAGTTTTAGTTTGTGTTTTAGCGAACATTCCTGAAGAAGCTATAGAGTGAAACGTTGAGTGTCTAATTGAATAAAAACATTTTGATGTTATAAGGTCGTTTATTTCCCACAAAATAGTTTAATTCAAAGGTGTTATGGCACTGAGTTGTAGCCATAAACAAAATAAAATTTACCAAGTAGTGTTTGAACTAAGCCTTACGTTATGCTTATGCAAGATGATATAAAACCCTATAACCCAAGCGCTTTCGAAAGGTGGACCTTTGTTCTCCAGGGGCAAACGTTTATGTATTAGGCCTAATGTTTAAATTAGACTACAAATAGCCCCCAGTAGCAGAGCGGTATGTCTGTTTATTTTGTTTACATTTTTATTGTTATAAAGTACAAAGAGTTTTCTGTACCCACCACAGGTATCGAAACCCGGTTTATAGCGTTCTAAATCCGCAGACATACCGCTGTGCCACTGGGGGGCAATTTGTGTCGGAATGTCCGCACTACGTTTTCTACTTCCTGACCTAGAATACAGTAAAAAGGCTCTAGAGTGCTATTTAAGTCACTTTCAGAGTGCACATGTACTTTTGTTCACGATAACATTTCATTTTTCTTAGTAGTTTTTACTAAAAATGTTGTGATTAAAGAATTACTTCGAGACTGATGAAATAAGTGAAGAGTAGGTGCATTTTGGAGTTACAGACAAATTCGTTTTAGTTAAATTGTATAATTTTCGTTAATCATTCAACAATGGTTTCCTGTCATTTTTGAGGGGCTTTTATACTAGTATATTACAAATGTATAGGTTATTAAAAACCTACTATTTAACCCTGTCTTTAGATTCTACAACTTTGGTTCGGGTGAGTAGAAGGACAGGTAAACATAACGACGATACCAGACTGGTCGTCTAGGAAAAAAAAAAGAATTTTTTAACGCGCGAAAATTAAAAAACAACAAAAAACTAACTTTTTGATCCCATCACCGATAATTAATATCATAATTAAACGCAGGGAACTAGTTACCAAAAGTACTTGGTTTAAAACAAATACACATTTCAAAATTAAAAATTTATGAAAACTGCTTAATTATGTTAAAACAAATTCAATAATTATAATTCAAAACCACCATACCCCCCCCCCCCTCCGCCCCAGCGATAATCCAGACAACTTATACCGTGGTGGGTACAGTATAGATAGCACATTGGGTAGCTGTGTGCTTAACAACAAATACATTAAATTAATATTAATTACGGTAATTAATACTATCAGCTGGAGATTCTGGTAGTGTAATGTTACAGAATAGTCCTAATGTAGTAGTATCGTTGTTATATCAGTACGAGTCCTAGCAGTTTACTTATACAAGTGTATTTGTACTCTGTTACAGAGGACGTGTTTCAAAACAGTACTGTGTATATTACAGCTTATTAATACACTGATGTATTACTAAACATGGATGTGTGTGTGTATATATATCAAGATAATAAGATTTTTCTACGTATCACTACAGCGTAAATACCGTTTGTAAATCCTTAATGACTAATGTATGCCAGTTTCTTGATACGCTTTAATTTAGTATTTTATACACAAGTTCTTTAGCTAAATATTATCGTATTTCGTGGTAGCTAGTCGACAAATTTCTATACGTTGTTACAAATATGCGATGCTACATACATCACTAATACGCAGACGTCATCTTGTTACGTTAGGAAATATATAGCGTGTGACGTGTTGCCACAGGTAGGGAACTGGGCGATGTCCTGCCTAATCAACTTATTATTTTAAAATGTTAAACGAAGGCTGTGACAGTAAAGAATCTAAAGAAACCAGTATTTTACTAATACATCGACGTATCTTGGCGAATTAATAATAATAACGATAATTTTATTTTTGCTTTTTCAAGTTCCACGTTATTAGTATCTTACGAAGTTAGATTTCTTGAAATAATTAAATGTATTGTTCTTTGTTCCCAAGTATTAGATTGAAAATTAACGAATTAATTATCTTCACTTCAAGAATTCAACGTAAAATCATGCTTAATATTAGTAACTTAAACAAAAGAAATTTTAATCATAGCCTTAATAACAATGGCAAAGTCTTGAAAATGGGTAACTAAGGCTGTCTTATTATATAAAACTTTAAAAAACCCGAATAATAGTGTTTATATTAAAAATTAATAACTATTTTATAATCCCTAAAAATAATGAAATTTAGTACGATATATAACAGATTCAAAAAAATATCTATGCATTACGATATTTAAACGATAGATTAAAAGAGCAGTCAACAACGGTACACTTGAGATGTTTCACGCTACAAGGTTAAAAAGAGCTGTTAAATTGTTTCAGCTTCAAATTCCTAAGGTAGCTTCTCACACGGATTATAAATGTGTAGCGTTCGTTACCGACACAAAGACGAACACCGATACCTGAAGCATGGAAATAAATCAGTACACGATTTTTCATCTCTACCTCGATCCTCCCCTACTGGCAAGTCCGACGGTGTTCGATCCCATTGATGGACATAGCAGAGACAGACCACTGAGCAACAAACAAACATCTCTTCGTCTTTCTACGATTGTCATAAAACAACAACATAATTGAAAACTACAGCTAAAAACTTGGCTTACGGAACTGTTTGTAAATCATCCCTGTAGTGTCTTTAGGGTACACAAGTCCAAGATCAAATAGAAATCTGTCTTTTATCAGAGTTCGAAATATTCTAACTGAGGTTTAAATATTATGAATTCTCTGGTTTTGTTTGTTCGTTTGCTTAAGTGAAAAGCTGCCCAATAGGCTATGAGCGATGTGCTCACCTCAGGGATCGAACGCTGAATTGTAATATTATAAACCCTCGAGCTTAGCACCCTAACCAACTTAGTGGGTGGTAAAGGGTCTTAATCGCAATATCATCGCTGCTTTTAACCATTCGTGATAACGATCGTTTGTCCTTACCTGATATATTTCACTTTCTGGTGCTCTCGTGTGTAGTTATAGCAACTAGTTTCTTTTCAACGTAAAACACAGTTAACATTAGCTCTCAAAATCCCTACGCTTATACAACACTTCTTTTCATCTACTATACATCATTCACTTCGCTAACTCTATTTATATGTGTCAGTGTTCCCTAAGCCGTAAGGCTGTTTTTTCCCCTTGTTGTGCTATTGGCTAGAGCGAAAATGCGTCGTCCAATGGACAAGAAATATATAAAAGGGCCTACACACAACGTTGTATGCTAGAAAATATGTTTCTAAGCTAATGTATAGTATTGCATATTAACAATATATGTATATAATACATATTGTTGCATACTAGCAAATCTGTTTTTAATGGGCAACGTGTGCTTATGATAGTCAACGTTTTACATTAATTAACAAATCTATTTCTAATGGACACTGATTGTTGGTTGTTAACAATGTATGTTTATAATATCATATCATACAAACAAATCTATTTCTAATGGACACTGATTGTTGGATATTAACAAATAATAGTTAACATTTTACACAAACAAATCTATTTCTAATGGACACTGACTGTTGGATGTTAACAATATATGTTTATAATATCGTATCATACAAACAAATCTATTTCTAATGGACACTGATTGTTGGATGTTAACAAATAATAGTTAACATTTTACACAAACAAATCTATTTCTAATGGACACTGACTGTTGGATGTTAACAATATATGTTTATAATATCGTATCATACAAACAAATCTATTTCTAAAGAACACTGATTGTTGGTTGTTAACAATGTATGTTTATAATATCGTATCATACAAACAAATCTATTTCTAATGGACACTGATTGTTGGATATTAACAATATATGTTTATAATATCGTATCATACAAACAAATCTATTTCTGATGGACACTGACTGTTGGTTGTTAA